AAGCCTTTCTTGATCGGCACAGGTATGCCTCGTGAAACCAGGTTTACCTGTGCCCATCAAGAAAGGCTTCTTTGTCAGCGCGGCGCGTCCAGACTGCCCCGATCTGCCGACAAACAGCTGATCGGCAGAGCGGGGCAGCCATTTAAATTTAAATGAAGCCGCGATTATTTTAATCGCGGCTTCATTTCCCTCTGCCGATCTGGCTAATCTACATGCCTCCGTCGACGGAGGCATGTAGTCTAGACACACCCAGAGAGGACAACACACATTACTGAACTGCCTAGCCCAACCCCCGCAGCTCCTGCTGGTCTCGCGGCCGGGCATACAGCCACCATGACCCTGCTTAGCTTGGAAGAGCTCACAGCCAGCCTCTTGTTATCCCAGTCAACTGCTGATCATGTCCTGTGTTCATTTGGAAACTCAACGGCATATTACGCACCTAGCCTGTTGCATGGGGGGGCTTATTTGAAGCACATTACCTCTGGGGTTTGCTGGTTCTGGGTAGGAGGTGTTTTTCACTGGAAGGCACACTCACAGCTACCCTTGCTGACTCAGGAGCCAAACGTATTACTGACAGCGGACATTTCGCAACAGAGATTTCAGAGCAAAGCTTTGCAGATGGGCTGGGGGGCCAATGACCCACTGAAAAATCAGTTGGGGGGGGGGAGCACACACAAGTGAGAAGCAAAAATACCTCTCATTGAAGAGGAGAAGGAGAAAGGCCCTCCCCACATTCCCCTCGCACACCAGGGTCTAGGGGGGCCCAGGTTAGTAGATTCTGTGTGCTCTAGCCCTGCGGTGGGGCAGTGGGAGGACTGGAGTGCCAGTGTGGGGTCCCTAATGCTGGGGGGAGCTCTGAGCCTCTGGGGCTGGATCCAAGCAAGCCAGGGCTACATCCGGCCCCCATGCCTGAGGTTCCCCACTCCGATTTACAGCTAGCGTCAAACCAGTTAACATGCAATGGCAAAAGGCCTGGAGGTGTGGTTCTGTCCTGAACAGGGACTATACATATGGCATCGAGGGCTTTGTAAACCAAGCTCGGCTCTTCCTGCCTGGGACACTACGCCATTCACACAAACCCTACCTCAGTGTGTTCCTGGAGAACATCTCTGTATGCGTCAAGGCAGGGCCGGCCCTACTGTGAGGTGAACTGAGGCGGCCGCCTCAGGTGCCAGACTGTGGGGGGCGCTACTAGAACCCCGAGTATAGAAATTGTGTCTGCTGCTGGTGCCTATGTCGGTAGCAGAGCGGTAGCAGGAGAGGAGTAGGACAGGAAGAAGGCAACCCCGAGTATAGAAATTGTGTCTGCTGCTGGTGCCTATGTCGGTAGCAGAGCGGTAGCAGGAGAGGAGTAGGACAGGAAGAAGGCAGAATGGAGACCTTGCAAAGTTTTGGCCCACGCGAGGGGGCATGGGGGCGTCATTTGAGTTCCCCGCCTCAGGTGCCAAAATGTTGCAGGCCGGCCTTGCTTCAAGGCAAACAGAGCTTGGAACTTAAGACACAGCAGGGCTTAACTCGAAACAAGCTCTGCAAATGGAGCTACGTCGCTTATTTCGAAATAGGGAGCGTTTACGCAGCACTTATTTCAAACTAGCGCACGCTTCCTCCGCCTTCCCTTACTCCTCGTGCAAGGAGGGTTACAGGAGTCAGAGTACGAAGTCCTCCAGCTTGCCGGTATTCCGATATTATTTCAAAATATCTGCCTGCTGTGTAGACGCAGACCAAGTTACTTCGAAATGACGCTAGTTATTGTTTTGAAATAATGTTGCTGTGTAGACGTCCCCCAAGGCTCCAGGAGCTTTAGTTGATGCTCTACCCCAGCGGTTCCCTGCCTTTTCCCAGATGGGGACCCATTTTGACAATTCAGCAAGACTTGGTGACCCAAGGCAATTCAAAAACAGGGGCGGGGGGCAGAGCCACCCGGGGAAGACACTTGGCGACCCATATTTGGGTCCTGGGAAACCCTGTTCTACACTGAGCTCCTTGTGGGATCTGGCCGTTCCTTAAAGTTCTACTGATGCTACACGAGCCGGCGCAGAATCCGGTTCATTCCCCAACAGCTATGATGATTCTGCGGGGCAATACCGAAGTACTGAAAACATCAGTTGCTAAAGCGAGCAGATCTGACACCAGGAGCTGACCCTGGAGTGAAATGACGTTGTTTTTAGGCAACTTTTCGGGTGTAACAGATAAATGGGGGGAATGTTACCATCAGGAAGCAGACAGATTCAGATTTTTTTTTTAAGGCCAGAAGCGTACATGCCAGAGATTCAGCCAAGTGATTTCTGCACAGTGCTGGCCAGAGAGTTAAACGAACTCCCTAACTTGTGGGTGAGCGAGAACGTATCTTGACTAAAAGACAAATCGATGCTGGGCAAGTCTAATCTAAACACATCAGATGTGCGTATAGCAGGCCCGAACGCCAGCTAATATGAATTATTACTTGGAAATCACAAACCTAAATTGATCTCCTATAGTGATCTACCATAATACCAGTTTTAACACCCAGATGACCTTAAACCTGTCTGTTTCATACAGGGCCCATCACTATTACACCTCAGCACCAGTATATGGGGAATGAAATGGGCCATGACCGAGGAACAATCTCTCTGGTGGAATAGGTCTTTGGCGTATTTAAAGATGATCTTAAATCCATTACTGTAGTTAGAAACAGACCCTCCTCATGAAGGTCCTGTGTAGCCTTGTACATCCCCCGCCTGCCTAGAATTCTCTGCAAAGCTTAAGCCCGTGGGGTGGGAATTAAGGACAGGTTGAAAGGACTTTCCCACGAAACTCACTTCTCTCTGATGGGGCCGTAAAACGCGGCTGAGAACAGGGTCCACCACAACATGGACAGGCACTTTGTCCCTGCAGGAGGCAAACGAGAAAGGAGAGAGAATAGAATGAATGCCCTGGTCCAGTTAGTTTTGGGGGTTTTTTTTTGGCTCACTGCTGTTGTGAGGACTCTGTCAGGGAGGCAGCTGCCAGCAATCCTATCTGCTCTGCAAAAGAAACTTAAAAAACAACAAATAGTCTGGTCGCACTTTAAAGACTAACAAAACATGGAGATGGGATCATGAGCGTTCGTGGGCTCTTTAAAGTGGTACCAGAGTATTTGTTGTTTAAGTTTATCCTGTACAGACTAAGTCGGCCACCCCACTAATGCCCTGCAAAAATCAGCCACGTTAGGAACTTGGTTAAACGTAGCTGCCCCTGACAGTCAATCACCACAGTTCCACAGTGCAATGTAGGTGGCACCATGTTATAACTGTGTCCCTGACTGCAAAGGAGGAACACAATTCAGAGACTCCCACATCCACCAGCACACACAAATGTGTGGGGACCAGGTCAGGCGGCAGCCACATTGTGACTAGGCGCTGTGACTTGAGTATTTTTGTAACAGTGCTAACCAGAAATATCCTGTATCAGAGGGGTAGCCGTGTTAGTCTGAATCTGCAAAAGCGACGAGGAGTCCTGTGGCACCTTATAGACTAACTGAAGTGTAGGAGCATAAGCTTTCGTGGGCAAAGACCCACTTCGTCAGATGCATCAGAAATATCCTGTAACTCTGAGATGAAGGCCACAGGACACAACTCTCCTCGTTACTTGTTACCATGGGATTTGAGCACCTCACAAATCCTTACTACAGGTTATCCTCACAACACCTCCATGAGACAGAGTAATGCTATCATTCCCATTGTACAGAGGGGCTAAGTGACTTGCCCAAGGTCATAAAAGCAGTTTGTGGCACCACAGGAACTTAATCAGGGTTTCCCCAGTGGTAGGCTAGTGCCTTAACCACTGGACCATCTGTGACGGACCAGGCCGGTCTGGGCACAGCTGAGGGTGTCCGCTCAGGGCGAATTGCTCAAATTCAGGGCTCCTTACAGCCCCAGACTGGTGACCTTTCCAAACAGGCCACATCCCAGTCCCACAGAGCGCTTCAGCAGCCTGCCTGAAGCCTCACGAGCAAAACCCCTCCGACACCCCAGCAATATCCGTGCCCCAGATGACCCCGGGCCTCATACACAGGTGGGGGGGCTTAGCACCCAATCCCACCTACCCCAAACAAGTTCTGTCCGGTTCCAAGAAACCAGCCACAGATCCCTGGTCAATTTACCCTCCGGATCTTACCCACAAATCACGCTGGGCCAATCCTTTAGCATCTAACATCTAAAGATTCATTGCTAACGGAAAAAAAGTGTGTCCTTGGCCCACTGAGAGCCATTGTCCCACAGGGCCTCGCTAATTAGCATGTCCATAGGCCAGGCTCTGCCCAATGCTCAACCACATGCAGAGAAATATTCAGTATCCACACAGATTACAGATTCCTAACTACACACACAGACATTATACAATCACATGACTAGCGTACATAGGATTAGCAGACAGTGAGCTTCTATTCAACATCCCACATGGCCCCTTTTATACCATTTTTGGGGCCAACACCCCCACCTATGAGTGCAGCAGTGATCTGGCTGCTTCCCTCAAATTCAGTAACGTGACACCATCCTACCACTCTGACATACAGTTATGGGAAATGAAGCAATGACTAACAAAAATAAACTCATCCCTGCAATGGAAGCATCAGTGATCACACTAGGCAAGGTTGCCTGATGGTTCCCATTCTAATCCTGTTTGCAGTCCATCATTTTTGTTGGCTTGTACCTCAACAGTGGCATACCTTGACCGAGCATGTGCAGCTGACATTCTCTTAATAGCTCCTCTGTAGGGATAAGGCCCTCTTAGGAATGGACTGATGTGTAAAATGGACATTGGGCTTATCCATGAGTCCACCACCTGGCTAAACACCACTAACGATCCACGGCAGATGTGTTCTTTCCTTGCTATTGCTACGAGCCAGAGACACTCCAAAGCCACAGGGCTCGGAACCAAACCAAAACTCCAAAGTGCTGATCCAAATTTGGATCAGGGCCTTTTGGGAATGGAAGTCTAGATTATGAGCTTGGAGCTACGGTACCCGCTTTGTGGTCACTTACTTGTCTATTTTCAACTGGTCGTGCGCACTCAGCGGCGGGGGCTCATAAAGAACAAGAGCCCCTTCTTCAAAAGGATCATGGAGCGCATTCCTGACTCCTGTCCGTTTGAGGCCCAGGGCCCTCAAGCCCAGCGACCCTGAAACCGATCACAAGCAGGAATCAGGAGAAAAGGGAGTCATGCAAAGGGCTGAGAGGGAAGGCAGATACTCCTGTCCTTCACTGCACCCACACAGAAGCAGCAGTAATCTGTGTGTGGATTATGGGGAGCACTGAGAGAGCAGGTATAAAGTCACAACCCAACCCTCTCTGCACGCTGGGTAACACTGCCCAAGCTGGCTGTGGGGGTGCTGCCTACGTCCCCTGTCAGTGCTGCAAATGCATTTAATTTTCTATAGGCACTTCCACAGCATTGAGTGAAGGTGTCCCATGGTGCCTCCAGGCCATAACTGAGTCTTGTATAAGGACAAGTAGGACCAAAGCAGGACCACTCATGCGGGGCAGGCGGAGAAGGACAAAGGGGGCAGCTGACAGTTGCGACACAGAAGGGCTCGGGGATCCTGGCTTTAAATCGCCATCAGATCACTTTGGGGCACAGTCTGGGCAGCTCTCAGAGCTGGCTGGTGGAGGGGGATCTAAATGCAGGTTAGCTTCCGGTTAAGAATAAAACGAGCGAGATTGAATCTGGCATTTTCTTAGTGTAGTGTAGTTTCTTTTCTTTACACAGCTACACCAGTCATGGAACAGAGGAGGGCACAAACAGCACATGGGCAAACCCCTCCCTCAGAAATCTTTGCCCAAACAGCAACGCCTGGTTCCCAAGAAAAAATTCTGCTCCACGGATCGACTCTAGTTAGGGAGATTAAAATGGAACATAATCTGCTGCTGCTTGCAACAGCTCCTCCCAAAGAATATTCACCACAAAACAACAATTCAGCTTCTCTTAAAAAACAGTATGTTGCTTGCATACTAAGAAAAGATAACTACGTGGAACAATGCCATCTAGAAATTTCACCATAAAAATATGCTCTGCAGTCTTGGACCATGATACAATGAAGGCTAAATTGCAATGTCCTTTCAAACCTACTTTTTCAGCTGCTAACAACTTCATTTCTATTCTTGGTCTCAGTCCAAACACTTTTTCAGCTGCTAACAACTGTATCATCATTTCTATTCTTGGTCTCAGTCCAAATGTGGCCTTTTTTGAAAATGGTGTTTGAGCAAAAATGGGAGACCTATTTTTGGATCAATGGGGGAAAATTGTCCCATTTGTTTCAATCAGAAAATCTGTGATCCAAATACACCTGAATCTCTGTAATCTGGGTGTTCGTGATTCAGGAACACCAGGGCTTGGACCTTGGCGGGGGGAGGAGGAAGTGGCTTTGCGCACTATTGCTCCTCTTCCCTCCTAGCTGGGGGAACTGCAGCACAGAGAAGCACTGGTGTGGAGGCTTTTCCCCGACACTCCCATAGCAGGGGGAGATGGGGGGTGGGAGGGGAGGAGGGGAAGGGGAGGGAGTGCCTGGGAGCGGCAGGGGGACACAGAGCCACATGTGCCCTGGGAGTGGGGTGCCAGGTAAGCACCCCTTCCCCCTCACACCCTGACTCCACAGCCCCATCTCTCCTTCCCTCCCAAGCCTCACACCAGAGCCCTCCATGGTCCAAAATCTTCCTTAATCCGGCATATCCTATTTCCCAGGGTTGCTGGATAAAAGAGGTTCAAGTGTATTTAAGCTTGTTAAAAAGATCATCTTGAGACTTCAAGTATCAAACCAAGTATAAAGAAAACTGGCACACATGTATTGGTTTCACACACCTTGATCCTCCTGTTAGTGATACTAGGAGTATTATTTAGACTATAACCTCTTTGGGCACTTGGTAAAATGTGCACCAGTCAGAATCCAGAATCCAGCCCTGAAATGCAGGATTATCCAAACTGAATGCTAGTAAGAAACAAGACTGCTTCATTACCGTAGCTATATTTTTCTGTTCAATCTAACACATATATACAAAAGGAGGAAAATACCAAATCAAAATGTCATCTTTTTCACTGGAGAGAGACTTGATACAGATCTGTTAAAGACCCTTGATTTTACCTTGATAATTTGGAATGGGTACTTTGAAGGGTTTTGACAAAATGCTGCGGATAAATGCCTCCTAGGAACGGAGAAAGAAAAACAGACGTTACAGTTGTTTGCTATCAGAGCCAGCTACAGAACAAAGAAGCCATTTGTTAAGGCCCTGGTCCTGCAAAGACAATTCACACTGGTGTTTTTAACCAAGATTTTTTTAAGCTATATTTAATGTGTTTTCCCACTGGACTCTCCAAAGCATGAAACTGACTAATACCGCTTGATCTGATTAGACACCTCAGAATCATATACATCTTGTTTAAATATGTTACCTGACTGCACCAGTGAATATGCTTCAGAGGGAAGTTGTGTGTGACTTCATTCATGAATAAAGTGCCTAGCCCAGTTAGACCCTGAATTCAGGTGAGGGGGAGGGATAGCTCAGTGGTTTGAGCATTGGCCTGCTAAACCCAGGGTTGTGAACTCAATCCTTGAGGGACCCATTAAAGGTTCTGGGGCAAATCTGTCAGGGATGGTACTTAAAGGATCTGGGGCAAATATGTCAAGGATGGTACTTGGGTCTGCTTTGAGGGCAGGGGACTGGACTCGATGATCTTTCAGAGTCCCCGCCAGCTCTATGAGATGGTATATTTCCAGGGCCTGACAATTAGTGTAATCTACTTGCCCGTGGCGAGTAGATTACAAGCCGGCTCAGCGCATATGCAGCACGGTCTGTGCATGCACAGCATGCCGAACCGTGCGGCTGGTGAGCCCTGTATATCTCTCTATATTTATGATATTATTATTAGATGCTACTGTAATGTAAATAATGATGCAAAGGGAATGCTGACGGGTAGAATCAAACTTGGGACCTCTGGAGATTAATGCAGGAGCTAAAAGCCAGCTGGCTCTCAGCTAAGTCTGTAGAGCGGGCTCATTATTCTCTCTGCAAGTGTTGTAGGTGCCAGTAGGTAGGACAGTGCACCACACCCAGAAGATGTGTAGCTTACATAAGCTCTCCTCCTGTGGCTTTCCCATTCACTCCATGCAAGTTTTCCTAAGTGCCACATGTACAGATCACGCCCAAGGTGTATACCTAACAGTAGCATGCAAGCCCTTCTGATCTCAGGCGAACAGAGCACAACTACTCATTGTCACGTGCGACAACATGCCCTCAAGGGATCCACTCACATGTTTGCTGCTATCCAGGCAGTGTGGTCGATTGGTCAACTGGGCCAAAGGTTTCCGGAAAGGTGATCTGTAACATTCCCAGCTCTGGTTCTCACTGCCAGGTTTCCGCTTCTTCGGAGTCTAGGAAAGAGAAGGAGGACAGGCTGTCGGCGGTTCGGAGAGTTCAGCATAAGAGAAATGTATCACCGTCACGCTCTGTAAGCCTCTAAGCACGCAGACAGTGCAGCCAGCTGAGTGAGTCTGAAAACGGAACATCATTACTTGTCATTGTAAGGACACTGCCAAGGTTGAGGGCCCCAAAATTTTACTTACCCAGAAGTGAATGTGATACTTTTCTAATTGTGAATATAACCATCAGCCCCCTCCCAAACTAATGCTGTCCACGCTGCTAAGACATGCAATATTTGGGTGCACCTACCAGAAACAGGGGTGGGCGAAAATGCATTTGGCCTGTTTTCAATTAGCAAACTTCTTTTGTGAAAAAAGTCAGCATCCCCATGCTGGCTAGCACACTGATTATAAATGTTTTTAGCATCCCCGCTGGCTCTAGGGATGTAAAAATCCCGTTTAATTCGCTAACTGGTTAAATATATTTAACCGAGTAACCTATTAAAGGGTGATGAGTGGGTGGTCTGGTCCAAACCGGCTGGAGAGGTCCCTCCACTCGCTGCTGGGGTGGAATGCAACCCTGCCCCCTCCACTACAGGCAGAGGCTGCTCCAGCACGGCCAGAGTTGTCCCTGTGACTGTGGAGCATCTGGGTTTCCGCAGACAGAAGCTGCTCTGGAAAAGACACCAGAGCAGCCCCTGCCTGTGGTGGGCCCCCTGGGGCTGGAACAACACCACGGGGAGCTGCTCCAGCTTTCACAGCCATCATGTAAAACTGCAGCCCGGGGCCCTGAGCCCCACCAGTTGGGGCTGAAGTTGAAGCCTAAACATTTAAGCTGCACAATGCCCCCAGTAGTGAGGGGTTGCAGGCAATGACCCTGCTTGCTACCTCGTAAAGCCACCCCTGGCATTTACATGCAGAAAAACAGTTGAGGCACAGCTGGGCTGTGGCATTTTTAATCAAATGTTGGGAGGGCCTCTGATAGGAAAAGGTTGAGAATCTCTGCAACAGATGATCTAAACGGTCCCTTCTGGTTTAAAATCTGTGATTCTTTATTTCTGGCAGTTCCACCTCCCTCAACCACATCCACTGGTTTCCTGGACGGTGGAGGGTTTTGTCTATACCCAAGGAGAGAGAACACATACACTGACTATTCAGGTCTGGTCCAGAGCCAAACAGCCCCAAAGCCTCGTGCAGTCTAAACGTGAGTGGATCTAAACTTTGGATCTCACCCTGGATCTAGTGAATTCCACGGAACTTTTTAAATGCTCTCTCAAAATGACGATCACCTGCCAATGCCTAAATTCCCAGGGCTGGTGTGTCTAGAGCAGTGGTTCTTAACCTTACTGCAGCCTGCACCCCTTTGATTCTCAAAATATGTTCTCTGACCCCTTATTAAAAATCGTTGAAGTAGGTCAGTTCTTTAAACCTAAGATAGATCATAAAAATCTGGCATGTTTCGCACCCCCAGAAAGGGCATCTCACACCCTGCATGCACCCCAGGTTAAGAAACATTGGTCTAGTCCATACACCCCAGGTTAAGAAACATTGGTCTAGAGCAACACCTGCCTAGATAACACCTGCTATCATGTGCTGAAAGTGTCCGTCTGCTATGTACATTGGACAAACGTCTCAAACACTTCGTCAAAGGATCAATGCCCACAAAACAGACATTAGACAGGATCACAAAGAAAAAACAGTTTCTTGCCATTTCAACCAGAAAGGACACTGTCTCAACGACCTAATTACATGCATCCTACTCCAGAAGACTTTCAAATCTGCACTTGAAAGGGAATCCTCTGAACTGTCATTCATGCTAAGATTCGACACTCTACGTGTCCGGCTCAACAAAGACACCAACTACCTTACCCATTACAAAGATAGCTTCCCCAATTATCACCTCTAATACCATTAACTCACAGACATTTACCTTCCTCCCCCTCACCCCCGTTCTGTTCTGAAATGTGATTTGTCCTTTTCATATGTGTTCACTTTTTTTTTTTAATTGTATCCTTTGGTATACATGGTTGTGACTATTTTCTTCCACTATTTGATCTGAGGAAGTGGGTCTGGCCCACGAAAGCTCATCATCTAATAAACCATCTTGTTAGTCTTTAAAGTGCTACATTGTCCTGCATTTTGCTTCAGCTCTAGATAACTGGGACTTAAGACCATGGTCTAAGTGCTGTGAGTCTCAGCCTCAGCCCGATTCCCGGTGGAGAGAAGTCCAAAATCACAGCTCTGCTGAGTGCGAAGTCCCTACCCTGCACTCTGCAGGCCAAGGCGTCACCAAAGGTGGTGGCTACTGAGCAAACCAGGCCTGTTCATGAGACAGGGCGCGCACAGCCACTTGGATCCCGCGGTGCATTGGCCCCGGTGTGATCGCTCAGTGAGAAATCCAATCGGGCAAGCCATTCCTTCCGCACCCAAGAGGGAAAGCTACAGGAAGGGTTTGGGGCAGGAAGGGCGGGTCCGATGCATTTCTCAGCCCAGCCACGGGAGGGCACGATCTTACAGCCCAGCCCAGGAGAGAGAGGGGCCGCCGCACTGGAAACAACCATCGCCCAGGCAGGTGACAGAGGGGCAGGGTGCAGGGCTCACCGCCTCGGGGTGCCAGTCCTCATCGTCCTCCGAGCCGTCGCCCCCCGGCTTCCTCTTGGCCAGCCGGCCGGGGGGCGAGCGCT